CTATGTATATAATAAGGTCCCTTATAAAATAATGTATAAATATAACAGAGAATAAAAACAATTCGATTGAGAAAATCCACATTACTTTAAGTCAGCTGTAAGTGACTAAACGCCAGCTGACGGATACGATATTATGAAGATACACCAAGCGGTTATGCGCGCTTCACTAACTGAAAAATGTACACTCATTTAAATTGAAAAGTCACAATAAATAGATTTACATTTTATCTATCAGTATTCGAGGCTAAGTTTGCATAATTTACTTATTTATGTTTTATTGAAATTGGATTTTTGTTCAATTGATCCTTAATATTCTTATCGTACCGTTTATATTCTGTTCGTCTCTATCAAATTTTAGGCATAAGATATCTTGCACTTTTTATTACTTCAATTTCTTTCTAGAAAGAAAAGATAGTTTATGTCCTTTCTTGTGATATTATGTAAATATTTGTCATTAAGATTCGTTCAGTTGGTTGGACGAGAGAAGTTTTAATAAATAGAAAAACAACAGAGCGGCAAAGGATTATCATTTAATATATTGTTATCCAACGAAAAGATCGCGACAATCTAGTGATGGTAGTAGAAAAAAGTGCTGGTACCTACCGACATTGACATTGCTGTTACTCCAGTCCACTTATGACCACGGCTAGTGCAACCAAGTCGAAACATCGAAAGGGATTATTATATTAAAATTTTGGCAGGCAACCAACAAGAACGTTGTATATGTCAAAATAAATAGGTAATCGTTTTGTTTTCAATTATTATATAAAAGACAAGAAAAGAAAGTGTTTAAAATTTAAATGATATATGTTTGTTGTTTTGGAAGTCAGCTAAAAATGAACAGAAGTATAATTTTTAAAAATTAGTAAAAACATCTGCAGTAAAAGCACTTCTTGTACAATAGTATTGCAGACAGTTTCTAGTACTTTCTAGTTTTATTGATGCAGACGGTCCATAGTTGAACAAATACTTCGTTACATGATATATATACATTTTTACGTGAGGAGTGTAGTTTTACTTGTCGTTTACTTTTATCTTTTGTTGTCGTGTATCCGATTCCCCAGAGACTCTGCTAGGTGATGCTGAGCAAACATTGTTTCTTAACTCTGCCAACTTGGAAGTTTGAAACTTTTTATGTGCATTCCAAGTGAGTGTTTTTATACAAATAGCAAATTTTCAGTAATAGTAAAAAAAAGACAATATAAACTTGTCGTTTCAGTGCCTTGATTTTTAAATAAATAAATAATTATAGTAATGGTAGACTCCAATTTGTTTTGATAGGTATAGTGCATTTCTTATAAGGATGTATCCATAAATTGTCTAGAATAAATCCCTGACTTCGTTTTTCTCAGGTTACTTCTTCAATACTACGTATTAATTTTGATCAGCTGCTGGGGATCCTTTAGAGATAATTATTTCCTTCAAAGAATTTCTTCCAGCCGGTATATGTATGAACAATATGAACATACACATAATTTATACAATTACTGTCCCATATACCGCTCCATGAGGACGATAGACTTAATTTTATACTAGTGACTCACCACTAGTATAACATTAAGAAATGCAAATTCAAAATGCCAAAAGGACAATGATTGAAAAGAGAATATTGCTCTACTTTAGGTGACTTGGTATAAAAAGACTAGATTAAAAATAAGTTTATATTTGGTTAATGAAAAGGAAACGAAACATGTCTGTTTAAATCGTAAAATGTTGTTTTCCATTGTTGCCGCTTACCCTGGTATTTTTCATGAAGCTAAATATAATAGTCAAGAATAAATTGTATTTTAAACACACTTTACCTAAACTTGTTAGGGTTTGAGTCACGTTGGTTATACGGTATATGGGTGAGTAATTGTTTGATTGGCTTTATTATTATTTGAATTTACTAATTCAAACCGATTACTGCCGCCTTTACATTACTTTATTTAGCAGAATACGTTCACCTTGTCATAAGGAAATGTAGCAAATATTAGCTGCAACTGAAACTGATTTCATGCATTCTTAGTTGGTTCTGTTTAGTGTGAAATTGATAACTTTCAACTAATTACCAAAAAGTGCAAGACTCCAATATCAATTTGACAATTTTTATCATTTAGATCTGCCTGTTTACATTTTAATAAGTACTTATGAAATCGATAACATTATTACGAAGTATTTAACTCAATAATAATCTTGTATAATAAATAAATTACTATAATATACCTTTAATGAAGTTATTAATACTATTTACTTTTTTATACAAAGTACATAGACATTTAATGTACTTACATTTATCTAGTGTAAAGGTGGATAGGGATATTGAATGGATTGTTTTATTTTAATTCATATTTTAAGGAAAAGCCAGTAATAATGATAATTTAAATTGATTACTGTGTGTCTCCTTTAACCTAACCTACGGTTAATGTTAAGTTAATATATTTTTATATTGTATACCTATTTATTGTGATATTTACTTAACTTAAACCCTTGTATTTGCCGATGTCTATCAGTAACTAACAAAAAGGTACCCGTAACAAAGAAAATAAGAAAAGAAATATTATCAGACATTTTATAAGCCGCCCGTAGACGCAAGCGTGAAAATAAACAAGATCCCTTATATGTAATAATATATTTATGGTAGTCTATGAGTCTACAATATATCTTTCATGTCCGAAAAATGTAACATCTTTATATATTTCATTAATCCTTATTCATATTATATATGTACTTATATGTTTGGTTGCTATTCGAATTCAAATTATTATATTCAATATATGTATAACTCGAAATCCGTAATAAGTTTCCGATTTGTGATTTCACATTTTACTGAATTTCATTAATAAAAATAAATGTAGACACACAAATTTCAACATGCACTCTTCAAGACGGACGGAATATAACAAAATAAAATATACATAGATTCTAACTATTTGTTTTATTTTGTATATACAATTATATCACTCATATACTCATGTTTCTAAAATTATTATTATTCTGACATTTAAACACTAATCGTAAACCTTTACTTGTAATTAAAATTAGCTAAATATATAAAATTGAATTTGTCGACAATATTACGACGGCAACAAATAAGTAAGTTAATATTCAAGCCACAAGCAAAATAACTTCATAGAGTTTTGTGTAACTCGTGAGGGGAGATGCTGAGTGGGGTATCCATCTTACGTCAAGATGCGCCGTAAAGCTTCCCTGTTGCATCGCGTTTCCATGCAAAATAATTTGTACTTCAATACTATTTTTTTATGTTTCATTAATACCTATATGTACTCCCAAATAATGACATAATTTGTTGACACATATATTCACATTTAAATTGAAATTAATAAATTTACGCTAATTAACTTTTACACGTTAATACTAAATCTATAGGATCTGTGATATGAGAATTTCTTAATTACGTCCTTCTTTTGTTCACTGTTGCTATCAATTTTGGAAACATTTAAGATTTTGTTACTGAGCAAATAACAAAACTTTGCTAAAAATATATTATACACGTGATCTTTTCAAGCAGTTCCACACAAATAAATATAATTTGTACAGACGCTTCGAGACATCATAAAGTGAACAATGTGGTTTTATTAAAAGAAATGCCGAAAATATTCGTACATAACGGAAGAAAACAAACGGCCCGTAAACGCCCGATCATCCAACCATGATTTCCAGAGTTCCGTATTAATTTAGTGTAGTATTTGTCTTTTGATTTGTTAGTTAATTTCCTTCAATATCTTAAACAAAAAGTTATTATTGCATATTTTCAGTATGATGGATATCTTAATCAAGTAAGCATTTAAAAATAGTACGTATTTTTTTAGTAATATTATACGCATATATAGAAAATATTTTCTTAAGTATTAGCGTGTATATATTTCGATGTTTTGTATATGTAATCTTCTCTGAAATTACTAGCTATTTCTTAATTCATCAATAATTTATTCATATTAATTACGAATTCGTAATTATATTCTTAATGAATACAGTTAAAAGTACACATAATATAGAAGAGTTATAAAATTCATATTTTTTAAATAGATCTACTTAGGGCAGTATTTGGTGAGACACTATCGGGTGGACCTATCTGTCTATTTAGGATTTATCTTACAACAAGTATCATAAACAATCTTCACCCCTCTGCGAAACTATGAAAATAAAGTTAGCTTATAAATCACGAAAGGGTTATGGCATAGTGACCTCGACTTTAGACCCCGAAAGTTATCAGTGGTAGACTTCGAAACACAACAACGCTTTATATGTCAATTTCAATTTTTAAGTAGATTTTGGACAATGAAATGGAGACAAAAAATACATTGATCCAAGAAGTATCTTAATACAACCCTTTGCCTGAGTGATATGAGGACATATCAAAAGTTACCTGGACTAATAAAATAAAGTTGCTGTCGCTGCCTATTGCTTTTGTATGCTTAAATCTTTGAAATTACGCAACGGATTTTGAAGCGGTTTTTTAAATAGATAGACTGATTCTAGAATAACTCAGGAATAGGAAGATTTATATATACAATAATACATATACCCGGGCGATGTCGGGGAGAGTAGATAGTCAAATATAAAATTAGTATATTCGTCGTTCTTTTTTAACCAAATGCATTAACGACATTTATCAATACTTAAGTTTTAGATTTTAATTAATTTACTTAACCTTCCAAAAGGAAATTCACGTGAACATAAAGATAAAGTATAAAATTTAAACTATGAACAACTATGTAATGCACTTTCCAAAGTAATGTTTTACTACTCATGGGGATGAGTAATAAACCAAAGAGTTAACAGTTTGTCGGTGTTTTATCACCTATACAATAACCAGTACTTAACAGTTTAGAATTGCTACCAAGAGAGCAACAGTAGAAGGTGTAATTGAGTATAGAACTGGGATTAATTGAAGCAGAAATGTATCAGAAGTGCAGAACCGTTAGCGCAAAGCTACGCAGGCGCGTTGCGCTACTCACATCGCAGTAACTACGTAACCTACGCTACGAACACTCGTAGCACCCGCGGGCACTTACTCTGTTTCCGAACGCATTTAAAAAGTAACATATTCTAGTTGCGAATTTTATTAATCTGTGCTACTCGCGCATGGCGCGAAAAGTTTGTGATCCATTTAAAAACTTTATGGAACGGAAAAACGAAAGATGAAGTGACTGCCCAGTTTTTATTGTTTTTTAGATTCTTTTGTTTTAGCTTTGTCCGTTGTTTCTTTTTGTTTGAAAGTGCTAAAGTGTACAAAAAGGACATGAAAAGCCATTTGTGACTAACATATTGGAAATAGATTATTTGTAGACTTTATTTAAATTAGTTCTGTGGCTTTTGAGTTACATCTACAAACAAAATGTTAATTATATTTTGTATTGATTATTTATGATATTTTGGAACAATACTTTTAAGAAGGTAAATGATTAAATATATTATGTAAGAACCAATATTAATATTTGCACTTCAATTGTCATATAATCAAATTCAGATATCTATCTAACCTAAAATAGCGTATAATGTGTATAACCTAAAATATTTTAAATTTGGAGTATGAATATTTATATTTAAAATATAAATAATAAATGAATTTAAAGTAAGTGTTAATTCTTTATTATATTTTGTACAACATACTTAAATTGAAGCTCTTAGAAGTTTAAGAGTTACTGAAATCATTATATATTACAACCCTGCATTTATTTCTACGGTCTTGTACTGCATTTACTGTAACTATAACTCGATGTACGTCCGAGTGATGCTTCTTATGCTTTAGAAATTTATAGTCTGTGGCAGCCGCACACAGACGAATGAACATTCCTCTATTCTCCGTATAGATATAAAATATATATAAATTCGAATTTTAATTACTTTCTTTGCATTTCTTCATATTCCGATTCTTCGATTATGATTCCAGATTTAGTTAAGAAATATTGGCTATAAACTCTACTAAAGTTTTTGTTAATAAAGTAATTTAAATATCATTACTAGTTGAATTTTGTATTCATATTTCAATTTATTTTATGAATATATCTGGTACCAATGTTAGCAGCTGTATGTATATACATTAGTTTATAATATTATATTATATACAATATTCTTGGCTTCACCCACGCGAAATCGGATATCTCCCGTGAGTATTTTCAAAGAACCTTTTTGAGTGAATATACTAATCCAATCCAAGCTATGTCCTATATAACATAAAATAATTTGTATTACCGTACCGTCTTTGTATTCAATTCTTTGTTGGGTTATTAATATTAATAGGAGATAGTTCTCCATAGTTCCCATAATTTCTTACGATTTCGTCTGTAGGAACTGAAAATAAGCATTACTAGAAGTAGCCTCTGTGTACATATTATTATATACTTTAAGTATTAAATATTATATACTTTTACAAATTGAGTAAATAAATAGTAAGCATAGATTATTAGAAAAAATAATCGTATACATTTAAACTAGATTTCAATCTAATTTCTCCTTTAAACCTAGAGTTTAATATTTATTGCTTTTCCGTTAATTAAGTTGAATCGTTAAAGTTTAACGCTTAACAACAGATTAACGGATAACAATCTAACTAAATGCGTTAAAGCAACGATCAGACGATATCTTAATTAGTATCTAAATTAATCAAATAATACTTGAAAACAAAATCCAAATTGGTTTAGTTTACTGTACATATTAAATCCTTCCATTGTTTAGATTACAATTAAGTCTACATATACACCAACCAGAATAGCACCTACGGTGATATTCATAATTGTTATGTGCGACAGAATTGTCACCTTGTAAAATTCATGTAATGATAATGATATTGCACCTAATCTTAATCCAATAGATTAAGATTAGGTGCAATATCATTATCATTACATAGTATAAAACAAAGTCGTCGTCTCTGTCTGCCCCTATGTATGCTTAAATCTTTAAAACTACACAACGTATTTTGATGCGATCTTTTTTAATAGATAGAGTGATTCAAGAGAACGGTTTATATATATATAATACATATACACCCGTGCGAAGCCGGGGAGAGTAGCTAGTTTAACAATAATTAACAATAATGATCACGATATTAAATTTTTTACTATTATTAACCTATGGAATCTAATTATTACTTATTATTAGTAAAATATTACTATCTTTTCATACACTAATACATTTACAAAATCTATGTTTTAGTCACTTTTCACTATTATTAACATAACGTTATACTTCTTTGTTTATAAAATAGGTACAGATCATTAAAACATGTTATTAATATTTCTTAATTGTAAATTTTTGTTAATACGATAGTAAAATTTTGGGTTTAATTAATGACACATTAACTCCTAATTAGCCAATACGTCAAAGTGGTCTATCGTGAAACAGCTTCTATCTAATACCCGCTTGATCACTTAACTCTGCCGAAACACAGACTAAACTAGTTTGCGGTAATCTATAGCAGTAATGCCCAAGCTGTAAGCCGTATCTGTGTGCAGGCCACGGAAGTAATAAAATCCAATCCTCTTTTTTCAGTACTAATAATTATTCATTAATGTAATCTCAAATTTTTTGAGTAGTTAGACCATTGTCTGCTGTCGAAGTCGTGATTAAGTAACACCAGACCTAGTTATATTTCACTGAGTATAGTAGAATTTTACATGGCACAGTAAACCTACTGTCGTATTTCGGATAGGTTTAAATTTGTTGTGGGTGTTTCCATTCAGTGACAAAGTTGCTACAAATTAACATATAAAACAACAAACAAACAGACAAATTACTGATCATTATTTACAAATTTATCTCAAATTGTAAATAAGATAGTTTTCATTACTAAATGAGCAGTACTGTTTCTTATCTCATTCGTAAAATAACACAATATGTCAAAAAGAATCGTCTCTTTATACATTTTTTTTTTTTTTGTATTCCTTTATGTACACAACTGCAGATGTACCAAAAAATGTTTACAGAAACTTTCGTGACACAGGTTTCACCTAAATCGAAAGCCAGGGCTAACTATATTTAATTGTACCGTGCATTTATGAATAAAGTTTATTATTATTATTATTATTATTGAAAATAATAAAAAATGCAACTCACGAATTGCAAACTTGAGTAGATCTGGTATAGAATGAACATTTGTACCTACTTAGGTTTAACGGAAGCCAAGGATTAGACAACAGCTATTAAAAAAGTCGTTACGAAAGGAAAATGGTAGATTCTTATATTTACCTATTAAATCGCCCATTCAAAAGGTAAAATGTCTGCAATTACAGTGTAAGTGCTTTGGGAAACATTGGGATGAAGCCAAGCTAATCTTTGAGTGGTAAAATTTCGACCGCTAAATCTGTGCCATTAATTAACTGTCAGAGTACCAACTGAAAATGTTTAAATAACTAATAATAAACAAAGCGGAATATCGTTTCATTGGATTATGTATGTTCCTCAAACGTAGGTATTATGTTTATGTTTGTACATCATAATAACTCATTACATACGAAAATATTATTTAGAATTCTTATGAATTATTTTATATGAGCATCGCGAAAGCATATGAAGTAAGTTTTGATGTAATTGGCTGTTTGCTATATTGTCTTCCTTAATTTATCATTTAATGGCATATGTCTGACCATAGCCGTGCGGTGTAGAAGACATTAAAAAATACATACAAAATTATTTTAATTTAAAAAAATCTATTATAAAAATCAGTAAACGATTTTGAGTAAACATGAATAACATTGTTGTAATATTAATCTTCAACCAAAGCTGCAGTTTATGTAATATAAAATAAATAGTCACTGCCCAAATAAATAACATTGTATAGAACATTTCATATTTCGCTAACACGTTTCGTGTAATAACATTTTGAATTTTCGCACTATTTTATGACCGAGGGTATGGGAGGGATGTGTTCTGTCTATTTTTGTTTCCTGTTTTCGTTTTTTCCCTTAGTAGTTTATTAGCAGCTAACGGAGCCATTTATCGAGAAATTATACGAAACACTTTTCGTTTATGTGGTTGTTACCCAAATTCACGCGGTTTTAGCCACGGGAATAGTTAGATCTAAGAACAATATATAGCATAGTCACGACTCTTATCCGGGATGGGGTAGTCTCGATACATAAATATTTATTAAGGCCCGTTCTGCGTTAACGAACCTAGCATGCTTTATGTCGGATGTACTAAAGGCTGTCGACTCTCGCTTCAGCTGACGTCATCTATACAGATTACAGCTAAGCTTTCGACACTGTAAACCATATTTAATTGAATTAGGTGTTATTTTGCGGAAGTCCATTTCAATAACGGTCCGAATTTGATCGGCACTAGAGAAGGTCGTAACGCTGGTCAAGTTTCCACACCGAATATTACAAATATTCGGTGTGGAAACTTGACTAGTGTCACAAATGCTAATTGTAGCGGAATTTAAGAAAATGATATAAATCCATCAAGTACTGTAAACCATGATATACCAGTACAAAATCAGCTGATAAATAAATAAATATTGATGATTCATAATGATGTCGATAATCATTATGAACTCAGCACATAACTCCAAATAACGCTGGCTATATTAATTCAGCGTAGTAGGGAGCGAGCCTGCCGCTGTGTCACGGATATTTTTACTCTGTTATTGGTGTTCCTTGAACTGAGTAATCAGGCATATCTGCAAATTAATGCACATTTTTTTTTCTTATTTCGGTCAGATTAGGACTATAGACCTTTTTGGATGCAAGTCGGGGTTGTAAACCCCGACTTGCATGCTATCGTTAAATCCATACGTAATTTGGAGATCTGTTGTACAGGTTTCGATATAGTACAGACTCCAGACTCTCAAAAGGAATAACTTGTAAGTTTTAATAAAATTTATTTGCATTGTAAGATTCCTTGTGTGGATTAAATGAATATTATTATTATTATTATTTGTAATTATATTACACCAAATTAAAACGCTATACATTTACCATACCGTTCAGAATGTAACTATATACCTCTCACAGAATAGGAGTAAAATACATCTTTACTGACTTAAGGCTAAAACAGCGGGATGCAAAGTTTAATGAAAATCCAACATGGACCTGTTATTTTTTAATTTCTGAATTCCTTGGAAGAAAGGTAAGGAACGTAGCTTTTCTGCCTAGCCTAGTATCCTAATTACAAGAGAAAAATGCGCGAAAGAAATAAAATATAAATTCTAATAAATTATAAATATTTTCTTTTTAAAAAAAAAATTGTCAATGTGATACTTAAATGGTTCATAAACAATCTGTTGTATGTTATAATTTAAATTATGTAATATGGTTGAGAAGTACTAGGTATACTTGCCTACAAAAATTAAAATATTTTGACAGGCTGCTAGAAATATGAGAAAATGACATATTGAAAATTTGAAATTTTGAAATATTACTGAAAATTTCACTAACAAACTTCATTATTCTGCAATG